TTTTTTTTTTTTAATTACAGTAGCTACATTCTTTGGTAATTTCATCTATTTAATGTTTTTAAGGATTGTAGTATATTGATTCCCAGCCCTGACTTCTTCCTTTGCTTCAGGCTTATCTTAAATTGCCTATTAGATGCTTCTCCTTTTACTACCTATAGAAACTCTATCTTAATGTAGCCAGAACTAACTTGCATATTTAGCCATTGATCTTATGGATCTGTTTTAGTTCATTGTGCCATCATGTACTCATTTGTCCCAAAAAATGTGGAACATGGTTTTGACTGTTGTCCACATTTTGTCCTTTATTTGTATATGTATATGTTTCACACTATTCTTCATTCACATTGTGTTTCATACAATCATTCTCATGCATTATGCTTTACAGAATTAATCACCATTGGACCTTGCCGATCATTACCCTGTCTTTTCGCCCAGATCCTTCCCCTTTCCTTCCCCCACCTTCCACCAAACTGTGCAGCCCTGTGGTTTTGTTCCTATCCATCCCCCCACCCCCACCTTGAGTTCCCATACGTGTTTTACTGGTTACCCTTCTATTTTTACAATAATCATCTTATGCATTATTTGTCCTTATGAGACTGAGTTAGTTTGCTCAGCATAATGCTCTCCAGCCTCTCCCAAGTTACATAGTATTTTTTGAAACTGTTACTCCTGCTCTTTATCTTTTCTTGTTTAGATTTTTTTCAGTAATTTCCCAGTTGGTTTACTTCCTCTTACCTGTGTTACATCCATCTTTCACAATGCTACCACAGTAACCTATTAGAAATACACAGCCAGCCATCACAGCGCACTTCAGAGATACACATCTGAGGCCTCATCGCTATGCATTTTTATCTCCATCCATTTTTTCTGCTGTGCCTCTGTTGTTGCTGTGGTTGTTAGTTGTCCTCTCATTGAGTCTGACTCAGAGTAACCTGTGAACAATATAATCTGCTCCGTGTCCTGTCCTGTGCCATTCTTATCAGCTGTGCCCCTAGTGCTACCTTATTTTTGAGGTTTTTCTTTTTCTTTTGAATGCTTAGTAGTCTTCTCCTACTGGGAAATGTAGAGGGTCAGTGAAAGACGGGAAGACTGTCAAAGAAAAGAGATGGGTTGACACAGTGACTACACGGTGGGCTTATGATGATGACACGGGAGAGGGCAAGGTTAAGATCTATTGTTCACAGAGTCACCGTGAGTGGTAGCTGATTCGACAGCAGTTAACAATGACAACAGGCAACAATTATCGTTATTAATAACATCAGGAGCTGCCTCACATTGACTACCACCAGTCACCGTACTAAGTACTTTGGGAACATTGTCCAGTTTATTTCTCAGAATGGCCTTGAGAGGTAGGGAGCATTATATTCATTTTATAAAACAAGAGAGTGCTTCGTAGGAGACAGACAGTGAATATAAAACTAGGTCTCTCTTGTTGACAATCAGTTATTTTTGAACTCTATTCTGTGAACACAAGTAGATAGCTAATCCTTCTTCCTAGTCTGTCTGAATTCAAATGCTAAAATTTAGAATAGTTTCTGACAGATAAGCATTTTACAGAAAAGAACAGATGAAAGACATTTCCCCATTACAGAAGCAACCAATCTATTCATTGTTGCTCCCAGCCCTTGGCACATGTGTCTTGACCCATCCCTTTCCCTGGTCCACTAGCATCCCTTCCACTCCCATCTGACCCATTCAACACCTCTCTCACCGACTCCAGCTCTTGATATGATGGCTTAGGTCTCAAGCCTTCTGTACTTCTCTGATTCCGAACACCTTGCGCTGCTGCCGGTCTCTTATACTGTGGCCAGTACCTCCTGAATTTAGGAATCTCTAAGTCCAAATTCCAGGTACTAGTATTAGGAAAGATTTTCCATCTCAGATGGCTCCGAGTGAAAATCCTTTACCTTGAACTTCTGATGAGATGGGATTGACTGAGTGACTAGGATTATGTGTGGCAGAGACAGTAAGGTGGGCACAGGATAGAACAGGGTTCAGAGCAATCATACATAGGGTCGCTATAAGTCGCAAGCAACTCGGTGGCACATAACAACAACAGTAGTAACAACATTCTGTGAAAGTATAAAGTTCCTTGGAATTTTTTTTTTTTTCTGATCAACTATACGAAACCATTAGTGGAAAAACCATTAATGACGTTTTAAATAATATGTTACTTGAAAGGAGAATTCTACTGTTAATGGTAAGTCTTTGGTATCTTTCACTTAGTTCTTCAGGTCTTAATTTTCCACAAACAAGATTTTATTAGCTGCATAAAGTAGATTGTTGATGAGTCTTTCTTCAATCCTCATGCCATAGTCTTCTTCAGATAGTCTGGTTTCTCAGATTATTTGCTAAGTATGCATATTGAATAGGTATGGAGAAAGGATACAATGCTGACCTACACTTTTCCTGATTTTAAACCATACAGCGTTCCCTTGTTCTGTCTGCGTGACTGCTGCTTGGCCCATGTAGACATTCTGTATGAGCACAGTTAAGTGTTTTGGAATTTCCATTCTTTTCAATATTAGCCATCGTTATTTATGATTCACACAGTCTGACTCCACAACTCAACCAAATAAGGCATCATCATGACTCATGGTGAAAGATTGAGATTGTTAAGCATGTCATTTTACTTGGAACTACAATCAGCACCCACAGAAGCAAGCAGTCATAAAATCAAAAGACGTATCACACCGGTCAGATCTGCTGTTGAGGACCTCTTGAAAGTGTTCAAGAGCAAGTATATCAGTTTAAAGACAGGATGGGCCTGACCTAAGGTATAGTATTTTCAGTTGCTTCATGTGTATGTCAAGGTTGGATAATTAAAAAGGACGACAGAGTAATAGATGCTTCGAATTGTGATATTGGTGAAGATTATTGAATATCCCATGGACTGCCAAAAGGGCAAACAAATCTGTCTTGGAAGAAATACAACCAGGATGCTCTTTGGAGTCAAGGACGGTGAAATTTTGTCTTTGAATATATTATCAGGAGGCATCATTCCTTGGGAAAAGACATCATGCTTCGAAAAGTGGAGAGTTCAGAGAAAGAGAGGAAGACTATTAACAAGATGGATTGAAGCAGCGTCTTGAGCAGTAGGTTTGAGCCTGGTGGAGAGTGTGGGATAGGAGCATTTTCACCTGTCCATTACAGGGTCTCTGTGAGTTGTTATGGACTAAGCAGCACCTGCCAAGAACAACTTTTGTTTAAAAAAGGGTTTGGAAGCTAATGTATTTTGGATTTTTGTATTCTGCCATCCGTTACCTTTTTAACTCTGTTGACTGTTACTCATCATAGTTGTTTGCTCCTGAGGAAGGCATTCCCTGACTAGTCACCACTAAATTGTTTTCTTTGGACATTCTTAGTATTTTATTTATGTTTCTTACTTTTTCTTTCTTTCATGTGTCTTTCTTCCTTATTACATAGTAAGCATTCAGAAGGCAAAGGCTTTGAATTCTGCTTTTTAATCTGAGGCCCCACCTACTATATAGCACAGATGTGGCTGTCATTTCTGGTGTAACTGCCACAGAGTTGGTTTTGATTTATAATTTGATAGAATGAAATACTGCTATTCTTTCCCCATCCTCGCCATTATAGGTACATTTGAGCTTGTTCTTGCAGCCATGCATCAATCTGTCTCATTGAGTTTCTGAAATCTTTTCAATCTATATGCAGAACAGATCATTCAGGAGGCTGGGCTCTATGAGGAGGAGTGTGGCATCAGAATTGGAGGAAGACTCATCAACAACCTGCATTATGCAGATGACTCAGCCTTGCTTGTGGAAACTGAGGAGGACCTGAAACATTTGCTGCAGAA